TTTGGTTCCTCTTCACTTTCTGCCATGAGAGTGATATCATCTGCATATCTGAGGTTGTTGATATTTCTCCCGGCAATCTTAATTCCAACTTGTGATTCATCTAGTCCCGCCTTTCCCATGATGTGCTCTGCATATAAGTTAAATATGCAGGGTGAGAGTATACAGCCTTGCCAAACTCCTTTCTCAATTTTGAACCAATCAGTGGTTCCTGTTCTCACTGTTGCTTCTTGACCCATATATAGGTTTCTCAAGAGACAAATAAGATGGTCTGGTATTCCCATCTCTTTCAGAATCCTCCACAATTTGTTGTGATCCACACAATCAAAGGCTTTAGCATAGTCAACGAAGCAGAAGTAGATGTTTTTCTGGAACTCCCTAGCTTTCTACATGATCCAGCGTATGTTGGCAATTTGATCTCTAGTTCCTCTCCCTCTTCGAAATCCTGCCTGTACTTCTGGTAGTTCTCGGTCCACATACTGCTTGAGTCTAGCTTGTAGGGTTTTGAGCATAACTTTGCTAGCATGTGAAATGAGTGCAATGGTGCAGTAGTTTGAACATTATTTGGCATTGCTCTTCTTAGGAATTGGGATGTTTAATTAAACTGACCTTTTCCAATCCTGTGACCACTGCTGAGTTTTCAAAAATTGCTGGCATATTGAGTGTAGTGCTTTAATTGCATCGTCTTTTAGGATTTTGAATAGCTCAGCTGGAATACTGTCGCCTCCACTAGCTTTGTTGTTGCTCAGACTTCCTAAGGCCCATTTGACTTCACATTCCAGGATGTCTGGCTCAAGGTCCATGACCACCCCATCATGGTTATCAGGGACGTTAAGCTCTTTCTTGTATAGTTCTTCTGTGTAATCTTGCCACTTCTTCTTAATCTCCTCGGTCTCTGTTAGGTCCCTGCCATTTTGGTCCTTTATCATGCCCATCTTTGCATGAAACATTCCCTTCATATCTCCAATTTTCTTGAAGAGATCTCTGGTCCTCGCTATTCTATTGTTTTCTTCTATTTCTTTGCACTGTTCATTTAAGAAGACCTTCTTATCTCTTCTAGCTATTCTCTGGAATTCTGCATTCATATGGGAGTTTCTTTCTCTTTCCCCCTTGCCTTTTGCTTCCCTTCTTTCCTCAGCTATTTGTAAAGCTTCCTCAGACAGCCATTTTCCTTTCTTGCATTTCTTTTTCTTTGGGATGGTTTTAGTTGCTACCTCTTGTACAATGTTGTGAACCTCCATCCAGAGTTCTTCAGGCACTCTGTCTATCAGATCTAATTCCTTAAATCTATTTGTCACCTCTACTGTATATTCATCAGGGATATGATTTAGGTTATACCTGAGTTACCTACTGCTTTTCCCTACTTTCTTCAATTTAAGCCTAAATTTTGCAAGAAGAAGCTCATGATCTGAGCCACAGTCAGCTCCTGGTCTAGTTTTTACTGACTGTATAGAGCTTCTCCATCTTTGGCTGCAGAGCACATAGTCAATCTGATTTCTGTGCTGACCATCTGGTGATGTCCATGTGTAGGGTTGTCTCTTGGGTTGTTGGAACAGAGTGTTTGCTATGACCATCATGTTCTCTTGACAAAATTCTACCAGCCTGTGCCCTGCTTCATTTTGTACTCCAAGACCAAACTTGCCTGTTATTTCGGTTATCTTTTGGCTTCCTACTTTAGCATTCTAATCCTCCATGATGATAAGGACATCATTTTTTGCTGTTAAATCTAGAAGGTGTTGGAGGCCTTCATAGAACCGGTCAACTTCATCCTCTTCAGCACCAGTGGTTGGGGCATCAATTTGGACTACTGTGATGTTGAATGGTTTGCCTTGGATTCGAACTGAGATCATTCTGTCATTTTGGAGATTGTTTTTATTACTCTTTTATTGACTATGAAGGATCCTCCATTTCTTCTGAGGGATTCTTGCCCTCAGTAGTATACCTGATGGTCATCTGAATTAAATTCACCCATTCCTGTCCATTTTAATTCACTGATTCCTAAGATGTCGCTGTTCAGTCTTGTCATCTCTTGTTTGACTACATCCAGCTTGCCTTGATTCATGGATCTTACATTCCAGGTTCCCATGGAGTATAGATCTTTGCAGCATTGGACTCACCACCAGATACATTTGCAACTGAGTGTCCTTTCGGCTTTGACCCAGTCGCTTCATTCTTTCTGGCACAACTAGTACTAGCCCTCTGCTCTTCCCCAGTAGCATATTGGACACCTTCCGACCTGAGGGGCTCATCTTCCAACGTCATATCTTTTTGCCTTTTGGTACTACCCATGAGGTTTTCATAGCAAAGATACTGGAGTGGGTTGCCATTTCCTTCTCCAGTGGATCACATTTTGTCAGAGCTCTCTGCTATGATCTGTCTGCCTTGGGTGGCCCTGCACGGCATAGCTCATAGCTTCATTGAGCTACACAAGCCCCTTTGCCACAACAAGGCAGTGATCAGTGAAGGGGAAATGTATGGTAATAGGACTGTTTATGGATGCCTGCCTTCTTTGACTTATTGCTCCACAGCAATATGAGTAGCAAGAACATGAGAACATAAGGGAGAAAGTCCCAGAGGAAGTATCAGCTCTATAAATACAATACGAATACTTGCATAGCATCCTTCAGAGACATCCTATGTGCCACGCCACAGGTGCTGTTTTGGTATGACATTGATATTGGATTCTCAATAATGCAGATGTGGGGGGAGGGTCTTTTCTTTGGGGCATCTTCACTGCTTTGAGATGAGAAGTAGGGAAGGGATCTAGATGGGGTGACCTTGGTTAGAGGAAGGGCTGAACAGTGCCTCAGCTTTACTTGTGCATTGATTGGAAGCCTGGGAATCTTTCCAGGGAGAATGTCACTGCAACTGAGAGCAACACAAGCCCTTTTCTATCATTGACATGCTCCTCGGCTATGAACATAAACGCACCACTGCCAGGCCACCACTAAGTTTGGGTACCTTTTCAGCCTCGGCCTCTTTTCTTTCTTTCTTTCTTTCTTTCTTTCTTTCTTTCTTTCTTTCTTTCTTTCCTTCCTTCCTTCCTTCCTTCCTTCCTTCCTTCCTTCCTTCCTTCCTTCCTTCCTTCTTTCTGTCCATATGCATGCTCATCCCCATTCTTTCAAGCTCAGTTCTTCTCAACCCACTCTCCCTTCTTCTGCACTGTGCTCAGTGGTGCCTATTCCCACCTAGAGCCTCCCACTGTGTTGCCAAGCTACGAGGCCCAGGGATCACCTGCCGGTGTACTCAGAGGTGAGTCCCACTGTAATCAAGTAACTGCCCCATAAATATGCACTGGGCTTCACCTGCCCAGAACTGCAGCCCAGCTTCACTTTCTGCCCCACGTGGATTGGCTTTGCTGTGCATCCCAGATCCTCTTTGATCAGAGGAAAGGGATGGAACAATTAGAAGCAAGGAAGTCCTGGCTTCCCAGCAGGGCAGACATAGAAGCACAAAAGCAAAGAGGACCCTTTGGAGCAAAATGGGAGAAAGCTGAAAGAGGAGGCTGGAGAACTGCTGCTGCTTCAGGAGAAGGATGGAACAGGCAGTAGGTACTGGGCATGCGATGCCCTTGCCAAGCTGTGCCCAGGCTTTCCAACCAGGGGAGCACCTTGAGAAAGGGGTGTAGAGACAGCAGCAGCCATTGCTGGACTTTGGAAGAGCCCAACAGGCAGGCAGCACAACTGGCTCATGCCCCATCCTCTCACTAGTCACATCCCATGCAGTTTCCAGACTAGTGGCGGTGCATGTTTGAGTGAGTTGTGCACATACATGCTGTGTGCTGCCCTTTCCTCAGAATCCTTCCTCCCTTCCCTGCCTGATGCAAAGTGGAAGAGACAGCACCTTGCCCATCATTGGCCCCCTGCATGAAGGCTTCCTCTCTGGTCTGGCAGACTGGCCTCTGTGATTAGGCAAGAGTGTCGTTCAGATCTCTCCTTTGCCACCAGCCACCAGCTTCTGCCTCTTCTGCAGGGCAACTGGAAAGAGAGAGGAACAGCAAACACTGAGCACAGCAGCCTGCACAGACGCATGGGGGAAAGAAGAGGAAGATGCAGCTGTGACACCGGTCCATCACTCTGCACAGTGTGACAGAGCATCCAGCCAGCCAGTGTCCATCTCATCCCACTGGGAGCCCTCTCCCTGTTTTGCTGTGCTTCCTCAGTTAGTAGAGATCCAGGGCTCTAGAGAACAGATCCAGGGGTCAGGCCCCAGGGGCCCAAGGCTGATTGCGTGCGCTTTAATATCTTCTCCGAATGAGATAACATAGAATTCTTCTACTAGGATTATAACACAGAGAGGCATATAGCTCACTAATGCTGGAAGACTCCACAAGCTGACAGGTGAGCATTTTTTTAGTAGGAAAGCAGAATATATGCACTGAAGATGTTGGAATACTGTGGAACAAGGTCTAAAAGAAAAAGAGAGATGAGAATAAGTAGAACTGAAATTGTATCTCTGAGAATAGTATCTCATGACTCAACCCATCCATTATCTCACATGCAATGAAAAGAATGGTTGACAACTTGAGTGTTTCGGAGGAAAGGCAGGTTACGGATGGATGATGAAAGGAAGGTGAAAACAGCTACTTGGAGAAGATGCTTTTCTGCAGCAGATGTTTCCTAATTATATGTTTCTAGTTTGGCACACTGTTCCTTAAACAGAACATTAGTCAAAGGAATATCCTTTCACAGTCACATAAATTTCCTAGTTTGAATCCAGCGAACTGCTACTAAAGGACCGAAGACACATTTCACTTCCTAACCCACACAGTCTGTGCACCACTGTCCTCCTGCTTGCTTAAGCATCTTCTGCTCCTTAGACATTTGTTCTATATCTGTAACAACCTAAATGTGGCAGGTAGAAGTTGTTATATTGGAGAGCAACAGTGGGCAGGACTGCATTCCTGTAGCTTGGTTATAGGTTTCTGCGGACACTTTCAAGCATATTTAATTTCTTTATGCAATCTGTTTCTGTTTTTCATTCCTAAGGGGACAATCAGGTTGATGGAAACATCTCTGTTCAATCACACCAGAGTGACTGAGTTTGTTTTCTTGGGACTCGCAAGCAAGACTGAACTAAAACTGCCTCTATTTGTGCTGTTTCTCATTGTCTATACTGTTACCATGGCAGGGAATTTGGGGGTTGTTTTTCTAATCGGGATAGATGCACAGCTCCATACTCCCATGTTTTTCTTTCTATGTAATCTGGCTTTTGTGGATGCTGCTTATTCCTCAGCTGTTACACCAAAAATGTTGGTGGATATCCTTGCAGAAAAGAAAAGCATTGGATTCTTCGGCTGTGCAACTCAAATGTTCTTTTGCGTGATATGTGGGAGCACAGAATGCCTCTTACTGGCAGTGATGGCGTATGACCGATACGTAGCCATCTGCAACCCTCTGCATTACTCTGCTGTAATGTCAGGGAAGCTGTGTGCCTGGCTGGTAGCTGGTTCTTATGTCCTAAGCATTTGGTATTCCGTTCTATATATTGGGTGCATCTTTACTTTATCCTTTTGTGGGCCAAATGTGATCAATCATTTTTACTGCGACATCCCCCCTCTGTTAGAACTCTCTTGCTCTGACATTCACACCAATGTGACAGTGATACGTGCACAAGTCAGTATAAACTGTGTCAGTACGACGATGGCCATTCTAATTTCATACACCTGTATCCTGGCCACCATCCTGAAGATTCGCTCCACTGAGAGCAAGTGCAAAGCTTTTTCTACCTGTTCTTCTCACCTGATGGCTGTAAGCTTATTTTATGGAACCATATTCTATATGTATTTGCGGCCAAACTCCAACTATACATTGGAACAAGACAAAGTAGCTTCTCTGTTCTACACAGTGGTGATTCCCATGTTGAACCCCCTCATCTACAGCTTGAGGAACAAGGACATGAGGAGAGCCTTTGGGAGAGTGTTTGAGAAGACACTGTAATTCTAAAGACTTTATTTATCTGCTATAACATTCTCCATAAGTGAAGAGCTTCACAATCAGCAGAATTGCATTGTGTGTCTGTTGCTTCAACTCAAGTCTCTTGTCAAATGTTTACACACTGTGTGCACACACATAGACACACACACACATCTTGACACGTAGACGACTCAACTCTCAGGACAAATTCTGGACTTCTTCCTGACATTCTAGTTTTCTGAGTATTAGATCTTACTTTCTTGAGCACATTAAATACAAGATCTGTAAGTGGTACTTAAAGTGGTACCAACTTTAAGCGGATCTTTACGTGGTACTAACTTTCCAGCAACGGCTACATGCCAGGATCAAACCACCTAACATTTTTGTCATTTAAAGATAAATGACAAAAATGTTAGGTTAAAGCCATCATTTTATTCACTTTGTAAAGATCTAAAATGGCATAGAAATGTAATAATAATAATAATAATAATAATAATAATAATAATAATAATAATAATACAAAATGTATCATTAAACTTACTGAAGCTTTGTGGGCAATGTATACATTGAAAGAGAACTAAGGCTATTGGCTATTGTGTTCTTCGGTTCAATAACACCATGGCAGCTAGTACCGCTCTTGTATGCTTCTGGCCTCTTCCTCCATATCATCTGCTGTTCCCAACAGGAAATCTCTTGCCCTGCAGTCTTGATTCGCCTGTGCCTTAGGATGGCTGTCCCCTGCTTTACAAAAAACAAGCCTCTGCCTGCGGGCACCCTATATTGGAAGGACTTTCCAGTCCTAGTCCAGTTTAAAGATAAAACGTACCCCCTTTCATATCCACCCCCAAACACGTGTTGCCTGTGGGATGGCTGTATGAACAGAAGAAAATGCTTGAGGCCATAACATGCAAACGCCTAAAAAGAACACCACCTTTGTTCTGGCTGGAATTTTCCCTCAGTGGCTTGCAATCAGCCTAAGAATGGCTTTCAGCTACCATCAAGCATAGGTGTTTTATGTTTGCATTCTTCCCAAGCATATGGAAATGCAGAAAACCTGCATAACAATAGCAGGCCTATTTACTTTTCACTGCATAACAAAGTTTTGTCCTACTAACTTAAAAAAATCATGGCACAGCTTTCCCGCCATTGAGTTTCATTCTGTTTTCTGAAGGTTTTAGTTTAGAATCTTAGCTTTAAAATATGGTCAATATGATCTAAACTCAGCCTTGATTTGTGCCGTTTTCCAGGACCTTTGTTTGGGGTCACAAAGTCACCATTCCCAGCTATTCCTCTGGAGCTTCCTGGGTGACTTTGTCACCCCAGACATTTTTCTATTATTAAAAATCTGTAAAACGTAGAAAGCTGAAATTTGGGGACATTTTAGACCAGACACTTTTGAACAATGTCATAAAAGAATAAGTTATTTGGACCACTCCTGTGAAAATTACGGCACAGAATGTGCACCTGGGGTACTAAAGTCACCCCACAATGTAGGATGAGGTTAAAAAATAGGGACCTTGAAGTAGTCAATCAACAGCATCTAGATAGCACAGGAAGTAAACCCCGGGATATCACAGTCTTCATTACTATGGTTAGGCTAAGTTAGATTAGGCATATTGTAGTTGTATTTAAGTTATAGCAATTCTTTCTAAATTTGCAGATCTCTAAATTGGCACTTAATGTATTACATTGCTCAGAGTACTTGATTGTTGAGTGGCATAAATGTATAGCAAATAAATCAAGAATCCATATATATTATCTTATGGAAATTTTATGCAAATGTGTGTCCCTTTTGTCTTTTTCACATTTTTGATAATGCATAAATGGATAATCTATTCAGAATTTCTGGAAGGCAAGCTGACTGCATGCAACATAGACTGGCTGACTGCCTAAACTAGACTGCTTCAGCTGAATATCAATGGCATAAAAACAAGCCAGTCCCCTCATCCCTTATCCTGAGTGATCCCAATGCTTGGCCAGGACTTACCACCCTGCTCTTCCCTGATATCTCTGCTTGTGCTGCCTACCCCTTTTTCAGCGCTCACTCTCAGCATCACAGAGTCCCAGCTGTGCTAATGAATGGATCACAAGCTCTTGCAAGAGGAAACTTACAAAGTCAAAAAGCAAGCACTGCCAGCCAAAAATAGGTCCACCTTCCGGACCACGTCTTCTTCACTATCCTTGAATATAGCTTTAACTGTTCTGAACCTCCATGACTACAACTCCTGTATTTCTAGTCCCTTAAACAGTAGGCTGTGCTTGTATTTACAGAACCTACTGACAATGAATGGGTACCAGATTCCCAGGCCAACTCCAGACAGTCTGGACTGTACAGACACTGCAAACTCAGGTGAAGCGCCGGCCACAAAACCTCAAATATGATCTTAGATGTTTACCAAGGCTTTGAAGAGCTGACTTCATTGTGACCCATCTATTGCAAAACAGGTTCTAGAGAGTTCTGTAAGTTAGCAATGGTACTATTGCGAACCACCCGTGGAAAGAATAATCTTTTAAGTCATGTAGAAGTCAAATAAATAACTGAATTAATACTCTAGTGGTTATTATAGGAAAGCTGTGTACAGTTCATCTGATACTCAGCTGTATTAGAAACTCAGCAAATTTATGGAAGCAATCCCCACTTAAGTCAAATCCAATTTTGAGTAGTATTCTCCATAATAATGCCAATTAAGCCCTTCAGTGGTTTTTAGATTGTTTGTCTGTTTAACAAAGGAAAAGATGCTTTGGAAACTAGTCAAAAGGGTTTATGCAAATTTCCCTAAAGACCAGACAGGAAAGAAGCAGAGAAAGAAAGGAAGAACCCCAGTCATCTTCAATATCATACTCAAACAGTATGAATAAAGCTTAAGGGAGAAAGCCCCAGGGGTGACTAGAATATGAATAAATGCTACAGGGGTAGCTGCTCTGAATATCAGACAAACATGTATGACACATTGATGCTTCATCTCACAGGTAAACTTTTTGCTAACCAATTCTAGGTATCCCCTTTAAGTGGCAAGAATGAGGTATCATGCATAGTTACTAGAGCCAACAATTAGCTAGGGCTGAAAACAGAAGTGAGATGCCTGGAGGCTGGCATTCTGCATTAGGTAGGTCAGGGAGGGGGAGAGGTTTCAGGAACTGATGGTGGAGAAAGTGAGCTCATGATGGAGCAGATAAGCAAAGATGACCCAGGAAAGAAGAGTCTTGGGGGGTGAGTTGAAAAAAAGGTGGGAGAGTCAGCCAGAAGAAGATGAGAGTAGTATAGGATTAATCAGAAACTGTGAGGTAAGGAGTGGGAGAAAAAGACATGGCTGGCAGTAGTAATTTAATTTAATTATTTATTGTATTGCTATCTACCTTTTTCTTCAGAGAACCCAAAGTGATTTTATTTATTTATTTATTTATTTATTAAAACATTTCTATGCCGCCCCTTGCCGAAGCCTCGGGGCGGCTTACAACACAATAAAATACAGAAATAACAATATAAAATTAAAATTAACAATATAAAATAAAAAATATAAAATAGTTCCAGGTTGGGTCTCTGGTGTCTGCACTCCAAGCTGGAGAAAACGCCTTCCTGAGGCCCCGGAGAGCTGCTGCCAGTCAGCATCAGCAAGACGAGGCTAGGAGGACAAAGGGGCTAAATCAGTGCAAGGCAATTATTTATGTTCCTTTCGTTAGTATACCAGCACGCGGTCAAGTGCTCTTCTATTGTCGCAGGAGAGAGAGGAAACTGGGTTTCTCCCTAGAGGGCATCCATCATGAGGTCCTCTTTGTACTTGAGCATTCTAGAGGGTGATTTAGGGTGGGGAGACAGTGGAGACCTCTTATTTGTACAAGCGTGAAACAGAAGGGTTGGCTAAAGACAGGTAGGGTCAGCGGAGCAGTTCCAGACAGGTGTACTTTTAAAATGCGGCCCTCAGTGCAGGGACCAGAAGTTGCCCACCAAAATTAGAGCTTGCTTATCATTTATTTATTTATTTAGGAAACTTCTATGCCGCCCCATTCGCGGAAGCCTCGGGGCGGCTCACAAACAGTTCCTTGAACTGACATGGCACAGTTCAATTTTTACTAACAATCAGCTTAAGGTCTATGGGGTTATTCAGGAACTGACTGAAGTCTGTGTGTGGCACAGCAAGGGAGCATATAAAACCATAATAAAATGTAGCATCTTCAAGTGACCATATCAATTAAGTCATTTTACAAGTATCAAGCTGTTTATTTTTCTAGCAGGCAGTCTAATGAAGTCATCCTTGGATGGAAATATCAAACTTTCTTACGTGTCATCTTCATGCCATCAGTAAACATTAAGTAACTGAAGCTAAGTGTGTGTGTGTGTGTGTGTGTGTGTGTGTGTGTGTGTGTAGAATATATATATATATATATATATATATATATATATGTTCAGGTTGTTACAGAAGTCTGAACTCAAAATTGTATATCTCATGAAAAATTTTCTTCCTAAATGAAGTCCATTTATTCTTGAACTAGAGCTGCCACCAGAACCGATCGAAGGCCAAATTCGGGTTGTTCAAAATAATGTGGCATGATTTTTGGAATTCAGTTTGCTCACTTGCTGTTTCTTCTTCCTTCCAGCAAACAATTACTTGGAATCGAAATGTGAAGCCATCTTCCAGGAGATGAGAAGATGCTGTGCCCGCTATCCCAAAGGCAGATCCACCTCTTGCTCAGGGTTCCAGTCAGAGAAGAAAGAAAAGGAGATGCTGGCCCTGAATAGATTTTGCACCCCACATCTGTGAGGAAGCCCTAAGCTCTGGAGAGCGCAGCCCTTTCCTGCAAATTGCATCACTGTGCTTTACATCACCTGCACTGCTTGCATTAAAGAGCACTCCAAGATGCAAGCCAGCTCCTCTTCCAGAACCAGAACCACATCTATTAAGGAGCAGTGCTGCCAGCAGTTCTGCTATCAAATGCTGTAGCCTTACTGTGATTAGATTGGAGTAGAGTAACTTGGTGTGTTAACGTGCAGCTCAAGGGTAGCAATATTCCAGGGCAAAGTGAAATCTAAGCAGCCTTTTTTTTCCTGGAAGTTTAAGACAATCTTGTTTGATGTGTTATGTAAATTAGATCATTGTTAAGCAGCAGGATCCATACTCAGTTACTTCAGCACTGCCCACTCTGTTCAGAAGTCATCCACCTTCCTTTTGCTGTGCAGACATACATGTTGGTAACTAACGCCTCGGAGCTCCTCTTTTCAGCTGGGCAATAGTTAGGTTACCTGTGTGCCTCAGTTTCCTTGTACATTTTCATAATGTTCCTCCTCTCCAGTTTATCCTTACCTAACCCACCCCCATGAAATAGGTTAGACTGAGACAATACCTGGCCAAGAGTCGCCCAAGGAGTTCATGGCTGAGGGGGGCTCTAGAACACAGATCTCGAGTCCCTGCCTGGAGCTCTAACCGCCATGGCCCACTGCCTCTCCGTGTGTGGATAGCTATGTACTTGGCAAGGAAGAAGTGGGGAGTTTTAACTTTGTGTGGGGTGGGTTTGTTTGTTTGTTTGTTTTGTAATCTGTTATTTCATTTTGTTTTTGCAATAAAGGTAACTAGGAGGAAAATAATTTAGACAAATATCACTAGCAAAGTTGTGCAACAAACAGAGTTCATGAAAGAAGCAGGGTAGGTTAAACTAAGAAATGTCTGTACCTTATAATTTCCTGATGGGAAACATGTAACACAGAAAAAGTGGTTTCTGTAAGAAATGGGCATTTCCCATAAAAGTTTATTTTTAAACTTTTTATTTTTTCCACTATCCTACACTAAACCTTTCTTTAAAAAAAAAAACTTGACTCCAGTTGCAGGCTTGAAGATGTTCAGATTTCCTCTTTCTCTTAATTCTTTCCATCTCCTATTTTCAAATGTTTCCTATGCAAGATTGGAACCAACAAAATCTCTAAAAATATTCACCTGCTGAGATGGCCACTTGCTTTATTTGAATGCAAATGGGAAGATTAGGTGGAATATTTGAGGTTGACCATTTGTCCTAAATATAAATGCACAGAATGGGTAATAGTAACTTTGCCAATGTATAATTGCTGTTTCTTATTCCAAACAGGTAACTCCTAATGGAGAAAAAATTCCAGTGGAATTGTACCACAGAAACGGAATTCATTTTTCTTGGAGTCACAAACCAAACAGAACTAAAATGGCCACTTTTCATTCTGTTTCTAAATGTCTATGTTTTCACTTTAGTGGAAAATTTGGGCATGATTTTACTAATCAAGACTGACTCACAACTACACACGCCCATGTATTTTTTCCTTAGCCATTTGGCTTTTGTGGATATCTGTTATTCTTCAGCCATAACCCCCAAAATGTTGGCAGATCTCCTGTCAGGGAGAAAGAGCATTGGCTTTTTCAGTTGTGCTATCCAAATGTTTTCATTTGTCATATTTGGGATTACTGAGTGCCTACTGCTGGCTGTAATGGCTTATGATCGTTATGTGGCCGTTTGCAATCCCCTACTTTACTCAGTCATCATGTCTGGCAAACAGTGTATTTGGCTTGTAGCTTGCGCATATGCAGTTGGCCTGTTCCATTCTGCTACACATACTGTGTTCACTTTTAGCTTATCTTTCTGCAGATCGAATAAAATCAATCATTACTTCTGTGATATTCCTCCACTTCTCCAACTGTCTTCCTCTGACACCCACATTTATGAGTTGGTGATATACACACTGGTTAGTGTAAATTGTCTAACCACCACAGTGACCATTAGTGTCTCCTATTCCTGCATACTGATCACAGTCCTGAAGATACGATCGGCTGAGAGCAGGTACAAAACCTTTTCCACCTGTACCTCCCACATGACAGTTGTTATCATGTTCTATGGGACGATTTTCTTCATGTACCTACGACCTAGCTCCATGTACGCACTGGATCAGGACAAAGTGGCATCCATGTTCTACACAGTGGTGATCCCTGTGCTGAACCCCCTGATTTACACTTGGAGGAACAAGGAAGTGAAAGACGCCCTCCAACGACTGATCAAGAAGACATTGTTATGGTGAAATGGAACACCGGAACCACTGAGACAAAGGAAAGAGCAGTAAAGGAAGCAGGCTGGAAATCTGCAGTGTCCTTGATCACTGTTGTAATAAATCTGTCAGCCACTGCTAGTTGTTGCAGAATGTGGTTCCTAATGAATGGGCTTGGAGCAGCTGTATTTGTGGGTATCCTCCTTTTCATGCATGCAAAAGGCAATTGCGGTTTATATCAGAGCATTCCTATTTCACGGGGGTTATTAAAATGGCACATTGATTACAAAAGTGTGGCCAGGCTATCACAGTGATCTGAAATTCCAATATACAGTCATGCACAGACTCACAAGAGCTTTTACCCTATAGAGGTCATATCCCTTTTGTTTCACTGCCAGCCTTAAGTTGCTCAGGAGGTGCAGATAACTATTCCGCCTGCACAGCTTCAAAATGTGCAATGTGGTGCTGGTGTCAAGGTTCGGAATGGCTGGTTCAGATGATCTGATAACCCACAAGCAAGTGCTGGTTGTCCCGGATGATATGTGGAAGATGGATGAGGATTTATTTCGTTTCTCTACTGCCTGTAGCCAAAGCTCTCTGGGTGGTTTACGACAAGATAAAGTATTATTGTGTGGTCTGAACACAGCTGGGCTAACAATGGCTTGTGGAATTGTGTCTATCATGCATTCGTGCTGCCACTTGAGAAAAGTAGAGGGCAATAGCACAAATGAAGGAAGAGCATTGCCAAAGCAACTCTGTCGTGCTTCCTTTCCACCCATGAACTTCCAGAAGACAGCTGTGCTTGTCTGGCAAAATGCTGTCTGCGCATGCACAGAACTTCAGTTTGCATTCTGAGCTGAAGAACAACTTGTGGCAGGAACATCTCTTGACCAGTAATCCAGCCAAGCATTTTGTGCTGTGCAGCTCTGGGGTCAGAGCCAGGGAATCACAAAGGCCGGTGACATCCCAACCCACTACAGAAAAGCCCAACCCCCTCTCCCAGCCGAAGCACGCATGCTCTTCAACATACTGATTAATTTGTGAGGGTCTCATGACTTCTGACAATATGACTCAGAATGTCAGCAAAGACAGCAATCACAAAACTGTAATAGCCACAGTATTATATTAATGGCTCAAATACAGAATGGGTAGACTAGATAACCACTATAGATACAAATCATGTCCTGATTAATTAGGATTAATGTCGGCTTTTCTTAAGCGCAGTGCTGGATCTCTGGGAAGCCTTGGAGGCTCTGTCCCAGTAGGATTCAGAACAAATAAAGCCTGTGGTAACCATGGGCTGAAATGGGAACTGCACAGAATCCTCTGCGTTCTGTTCCATAGGTAAGATGCACAGATGATTCTAAAAACGTGCAAGTCCAGTTTCAGGGCAAATATGAATGTAGGAATAGGAGAAACATAGCTGACAGTGTATTTAGAGGGATTGTTTTTAGCCTGTATAACCTATAACCCTATGACCTATAGAACTTATGAGTCCAACCCAGACCATACTACTGCATTTTGGCTTTTCTGGCAGTTGTCAACGGCATTGTATGTATGTGCTTTCTCATATCAATGCAGGAGCACTATGCAGAATTATCTCATAAATGAGGGATCCCTGAGGTAGATAGGATGCCTGAGGTTAGCATCTCCAAGATCTAAGTGAGGTTGCCTAATGCAATGTTAATAGAAGAGGTAACAGAGCTGACTTTTGGAAGTTTGGAATGAAAATCTGCCACTAAGCATCACACAGAATTATTAGAATGCTTTCCTGGGATGCTTCGTTTGGTTTCAGAGTGCACTCTTGATGGACAGGGGGCTCCCCCCTGAGAGCCTGCTACGTCCTGCTGGAAGGGTGGGAGGGGGTGGCAATTCTTTCACTGCCTCCAGTGAGTTAGCTGCCTACTGCAATCACCACTGATGCATCAGGTTTGGAAAAGGGCAATCCATGTCCAAAGCGCTGCCTATCCATAAAATATATGGGAAGGCCTTGGACAAGCCAGTATCTCTTCACATAATGAATGCAAAGAACATGGAAATACAATCATTATGATTGATTAGTGAGAAAGGGTTTAGGGACTAATGTGGAGGACGTGGTTTTCCACAAGCTATTACTTCTAGGTTCTCTAGCAGAAGCAATACTTGGGTCTTCGAATGATCTGATTGTTCAGTGAACGCAGGGCAGAGAACGTGACCTTTCTGTTTGATTCTGGTTTCTGCAGTTCTGTAGAGACATACTTGAAAGGAAGGCTCACTGAACTCAGTGGGGCTTGTAAGCAGGCCAACCTGCGTAGGGTGGCATTGTAAAATGGCTGCATAGTCCTTTGTCCTGCTTGGCATGTGGGAGGGCTGAGAAGGTACCTGGTTTTCGTGTAGGTGACACTAAATCTAGAAATCTGTATGAGGGGGTCTGGCCAGAAATAAGCACATATCCTGCTTATAAAGGACAGCGAATATCTAGAGATCTGGCTTTGTTTTGTTTACAGACATGTCTTTTAAAAAAATGGTTAAACCTTGCCCTTCAAAATCAATCTCTATTCAATTACTCGTGTGTTTTATATCCTAAGAGGGAGAATTGCAAACCATTTAGTATTATATTGATTTATACCATGGACATTACAGTTAATGTTTCCATGTGCTTGCAAGCAATGATTTGAAACTTGAACTGAGATGCAGCTTAGTTCAAAGAAAACCAAATGTGACTTCATCTATCAGAAAAGATCATCTTTGCCGGGGGAAGAGATTCTATTGGTTCGATGCACAGTGTCAGAACTTCCAGCTTTCCACTGGAAATGAGGAAAAGTAATCTCTTCCGTGGTAATAGACCTCTTCCGTGGTAATAGAACCCTACGCTCTTCTCAGTGTAATCTGTTTTCTGCAGGCACTGCACTAATGGAGGAAAAGTCTGAGGAAAATCGAAGTGCTCCAATCACTGAGTTCATTTTCATGGGATTAACAGACAACCCTCTGCTACAGCCTATTGTTTTTGCAGTGTTCCTTGTCATCTACACCAGCAGCTGCATAGCGAACATTGCAATGATTATATTAATCTGGGTGAGTTCCCAGCTCCACAATCCAATGTATTTCTTTCTCAGCAACTTATCATTTTTGGATATCTGCTATTCCTCTGTGGTGGCCCCCCAGACACTCATCAACTCCATTGCAGAAAAAAAGGCAATTTCAGTGGCTGGATGTGCAGCACAGATGTACTTTTTCATAGCTCTGGGGACCACAGAGTGTTGCCTCCTGGCTGTGATGGCATATGACCGCTATGTGGCTATCTGTAACCCACTGTTATATCCCATCCTCATGTCTTCTAGAGTTTGTATTCTTTTGGTGGCTGGGTCATACATACTTGGCTTCCTCCATTCTCTTGTTCACACAGTCTTCACATTCAGACTGTCCTTCTGCGGGTCTGATGAGATCAATCATTTCTACTGTGACATCACACCACTGTTATCCATCTCCTGTTCCAACACAAATGTTAGTGAAATTCTTTTATTTAGCATGGTGGGAGGCATTGAGATCATCACAATTTTGATCATTGTGGTCTCTTACTCATACATTCTCGTTACCATCCTGAGAATCCGCTCGGCCCGTGGGAGGCACAAAGCCTTTTCGACCTGTGGCTCCCATTTTACAGGTGTCACCATTTACCATGGAACAATCCTGTTCATGTATTTGCGACCCACTTCTAGCTACTCCTTGGATACCGACAAAATCCTTGCTGTGTTCTATACCATGGTGATCTCTTTGCTGAACCCACTAATATATAGCCTGAGGAACCAAGATGTGAAGGATGCTTTGAGTGACCTCCTTAAAAGAATTTATCAGCATGTATACAGTAATAACTAGGATGTTTGCTTCTATATCAAAAATCAGTGAGGAGATCCATGTTAAGAAAGGTGTGCTATTTTGCATTCTTTTTTATATGTGTGTGTGTGAGAGAGAGAGAGAGATTCAATTTTTGTAAAAATGGGCAAAAGTGATCATTCTACGGGTAAAAGAGAACTCCATGAATAATACTTTGTACAATGAGAGAGAGAGAGAAAGAGAGAGAGAGAGAAGAAGGGATGGAGAAAATGACACCAATATCAGAATTAATGTACAGTCAAGGATTCTATGGCATTTAAAGTTGGCAGCAGATGACATCTAGTTCAAAGGATTGTAGTTTTCAAAATGGGAAAATGTATTTTCTTTATATTGCAGGTTAATAAAGTTCAATGTGCTTCCCACTTCATGAGTGATGAGCAATATTACTGCGGAGTAGCAGTACCCAGGTGTATGGCTTCTCATGGAGGAGAAATCACTGAACTGTATGGGGTGAGGGCTCGGGGGGTAAATTTTGGTTTGTTCACTTCTGAACAAGCAGAACATAGGAGGAGGCAAGCAGCCTGCACAGTCCTGACAAATCTACTCTCCACATCATCTCCCCAACATGAGTCAACCTGCACCCCAATATTCCTGCAGCATTCTTCATTCATTGGTACATGGAAAAGAATGACCAAATAGGGCTACGGTGTGCCTGACTTCTGATTCCTTAGGACTCCCTTTCCATCATTTTCAACATAGACTCCACTGCCACCAGCATACCTAAAGCATATCTGGCCATTTAGTTTCCCACACAGACATTTGAATTTACAGTGCTTGCTCCTTCTGCACATCTGTGCAAGAAAAACTTCATTGCAAAATATGGAGAGGTGCAAATATTCCAGAATGACTGCATTCCAGTTGATATATTGTTTCAACAA